ATGATGGAATTTGATCCAGACGACATATGTAATAAGTGACTAACGTTAATGATTTGAACGTTAAAAAAGTGACGGTCAAATTAGCGCCCAAAAATGAACTTCAAACAACCTCGAAGGACGACCTGCCCAGACTTACCTAGTTTGTAATGTTGTACCTAACAATCGTTATCAACACATTATCATTGAAAAATTTATAAAATTCGGCATAATGCCAGAGTGACCATGTACACTTTATTTTATTTACATATTGTACTGGCATATTTCGTTTTAACATTAAACTATACTTTGATATTTTTGTTATTATAAAATACACATTTTTGTTTACTAGAATCATAATTTAATAAAAACAATCTATGTTCACGATTCGTAAGTTCTTGTCTAGAACGATTTTACCTGAAGGCCGTAGAGACAATATATTGCGCGTGTAAACCGAAATTAATTGAGAAAACGAAATACGTAAAGAAATTTTTAGGTCGTACATCTAAACGTTTAAAACGCGAATTTAATAATTGGAAAGTACAAGGTATAAGAAAATATAGTAAAATTAGTAATAACCAGCTCCTAATAACGCATATAAATATAAGGCACCTACTTACAATCATATATAGACCATATGTATATTATATAATAATACAATAGGTAATACATAAACTGGAATAATTCACGCTTTGAAAATAAAAACATAAAACTGTATTGGTAGATGTAAATAATAGTATGATATATATTCTAAAATCAAGATTGGTTGTAAGTTAGTTAATAACGGTCAAAATGAAACACAAATTGACAATGTTCTATTTTACGAGATATTTCACCGAGTATAATTAACATAGTCCGCATTGAATCTAATATTAAACGGCTTTCGATTGAATTTAAGTGCGTATACAGAAATATAAATTGAAAGGAAAAACAACTTTTGGTTTTACAGATAAATAAAATATTTTTAATTTTAAATATATTTCAACATTCAATGTTCATATAAGTATATTAGTAACTATTAAAAGATAATACTATATCGCATAATATAAGTAGCAGACGCGTAGCCAGGGGGGGTGTTACAGGTGCAGTAACACCCCCTCCCACCACATTAACCGTGTTATACTGAAGTCTTGTAAAATGCATCATAAACCGTAATGAAAACATATTTATCATAAGGCAATATATTCATAACAATAATAATATTATATATAAAAATCCGGCTTCTCATTACACCGTTATGTCTAATAAACCAAAGCCGTGGTTCTGTGTCGTATCATGCACAATTTAAAATAGGTACAAATGACAAAAAATGTTCATCTGAAATTTTAATAAAATATTTAAATACTTTCTCATACAAAAGTACATTATACATGAACAGATATTCTGTACTAATGTGTTTCTACGCTTGTACAATAAAGTATACGTAAAGTAATTATTTTGTTATGAATAATTTTAAATAACCCCCCTTTGAAATATCTAGCTACGGGCCTGATAAGTAGGTATTAGAGCCATCTGCGGGAAAAAATAAAAAAATATGTATTTAGCTCATATTATTATCGATGCTTGTAAACTGATGGTCGCTATGATGATCGTTATGACAATTCGATTATTATCCTGCGTTCAATTTATTATCCGATCATTACTGTTTTGTTGTCTGTTCGTTCCAGTTGCATCCAGTTTACTTTTCAACCGGGTATCTATATACAAATTTAAGTATATATTATACAATATACTTATATTTATAAATACCTAATAAAGTCAGTGACGGATATTGTTACCGTCCACACGCAATTTTTTCAAAGAAGATTTGCGTTTCTTCATATATTTTTCAGGTAAGCAGTGTTTTTATTGACTATCAAATAGGATATGTAAAAAATAATTTTTCATGATTTAATTATAAAAATTGAAAATTTGATGAGATTCGAGTTACAAAAGTGTGCCATATTTTCGTGATTTTTATCCAGTTTTGTCTAATTTTAAAATTCAAATGCTTATAAAAATAGTTTTGAAATAATTACCTATTTTTCTATGACCAGTATGTCAACATTTTTCGCTGTACTAATATAATTAAAATTTTTATTTTATGATATAAAAAAATAATATGAAATAAAATATATAGTGAATAAAGTACAAAAAAAGTCAATATATTTTGGAAATTATATCAGATCAAGGGGTATAATATTAGTATATAAGTACATTAGTATATAATATTAGTATTCTAGTATATAGAAATTTCAAATTTCTATGAACATCACTATTGTTGATTTTAATTGTACACCAACGGCAGCGGTCAGGAACCTGCGGCTCTTTAACATGCAATCTGTGGCTCTTTGGAAAATGTATCAATATCGAGACACGTATAACAATAAAAATTATATTGTGCAATTTTATGGTGATAATATTTCTGCGGCTTTCTAAACATCATGTTTTTGTAACTTTTTAAAAAATGGCTCTTTCCTACGAAAAGGTTCCCGGCCCCTGACCTACGGAACTTAGATTTACCGCCTCTAAAATGTTAAAGCTCCTCTAATCATCTGTTCTGCTTGCAGGTATACGCATACCGCTTTAGGTATTTTCACCGTCGCATCGGCGGTACACAAATTCATTAGGTTTTTCTAATTCTTACGCACACGGTGCATTGTGTCTCGCCCCTCCCCGGGTATTAACCATCCTAACATACCGTCCGTCAAACCACTCAAGTCGGACAAAAATCGTCTACTTCCAAGTGAGTAAATATAACCATTCAAGTATGGTCAGACAGTTCTTGTGCCCGGTGAACGTGTCGCCATTGATCCGATTAAGTCGATGGTGCATGTTAATCGCCGGCATCGGCTTCGGCGTTTACCGTCACAACGCGCTACAGCAATTCGAGGACGAACGTCGTCAAAAGTCCCGTCTAAACGAACAAAACATCGTTGATCTCGAGTTCGAAGATACAGCCGATGACGGCGAAAACGGACCGTCGTCGTACTACCCAACGGGATCACCGGATTCGCAATCACCCGACCAGACGGAACCAACCGAACATCCGGTTTATGGTTCGAACGAATCACCTGAACTCCCGCCTCCTAGTCTGATGGGACGGTCCACGACGCTTCCGCCATCCGGTTTACCCGAACAGCCGGAACTTGTACCAATCGGTCTAAACAATGAATCACCCGAACTAATGCCTTCCGGTCAAAATGGATCTCCCAAATCCCCACCGTCCGAACCAAGTGGACAGCCACCCTCTCCACCATTGGATCCGGTGAACGGATCGTCCGAACTCCCGCCATCCAAAACAAGTGAACAGCCACCCTCTCCACCGATCGACCCGCAGAACGGATCGCCCGATATCTCGCAAGTCGATCAGAAATACAATGAAATACGGGATCTTTTAAGAGTTCCGCTTTTAACCGCTCCAACAGGACCTCCTGACGTGTCGGTTTCGCACCAGCCCATGAAACAGCCACCCGTCTATTCATTGCCGACTTACGCGGAGTACCGTCGAAGTCCTCTGTCAACTCTGTACTTGGGTTTCTGGTCAAAAATGTCGGTGGTGCTTTTTGATTTGGCTGAACAATCTTCGTCCACGCAGTCCAGCAGCCCATTATAATACTCACACTTAAGATATTGATATTATCTTTTGATGTTATGTTATATTTTTTATTTTTCTAAATTGTTGTACAAACCATACACTGATAAATAAACGCACTCGTTTTTGTCGCAATGTTGTTTCGTTACCGTGTACTATGTGTTGCAATAATATTCTTGAGTCCATGTGAAAATCGCAAAAAAAATATCGCGAAATATTTTAATAGCGAAAAGAAATTATCTTCGTTAGTGGGTATACCTTTATACGAGATATAATAATACTATGTATAATAATACTCTTGTATAATAATACTAGATAATCAATAATGTAATTTTGTATTATTGCGTCTTGAATCACGTAATAAAGATAAGCCGTGGTTAAATCTAACCGCTGTCAAGCTTTATATATTATTTATATATTGTGTGTTATATTATATATATATGTATATTGTGACCATAGCATAGTGCAGCGGTTCTTAACCTTTTGTAGTTTACGGACCCCTGATGAAAGATTCTTAGAAATTGCGGACTCCCTTACTAATTTTTTGTTTAATACTTTTTTTTAGACAAAACATCTCATGTTATTAAAACCAAAATTATAATAATTATTTTATATAATAAATTACATTAATAGACATAATTTGTTATGCATACATATATATTTATAATTATTCTTATTCCACTTAATTTTTCAGTTAACTTAAATTTAATTATTTTAGTTTTAATTTCTATTTTAATATTTTTAAAATTTAATTTTTATTAGCTTAATACGATGGTTGATACACAAATTTTATAACATCGTATAATGATAAAATTTATCTATTATATAATAAAAAATAAATATAAAAAAAAAAAATAATAATATTAATCCAACAATATTATAATAATGCACTCATGTCATGTATTGATGTATATATGTTGTGTTTTAGGGCTGTCGCGGACCTCCGATATGAGTATCGCGGACCCCTAGAGGGCCGCGGACCACAGATTAAGAACCATTGGCATAGTGTGATGATGTATTTTATATACTTACATAAGTTTAGGAAAAATATTAAATCTAAATTTAATTTTATATAGTATTTTGATTTTAATGTTAATTATTACTTATTATATTATAAAGATATATCCGGTATATTTCTTATTTTTCGCTATTAATGTTTTCACTATTAAAATATTTCGCGATTTTTATTTTCGCCGTTTTATTTTCACGATTTTTACTTTCACGATATTAACTGGCACCCAATATTTTTGTAACTTTTAAGTTATATGTAATAACGACAAATAATATTATTCATAACCAGGGATCGTAAGTTCATGCACTAAAAAATGCAATAATGCACCTACATTTGATAAAATACCTATATAAAATATGCATTTATATGCATTAAAAATTTTAAAGCTGAAGTTTTATTTTAAAGATATTCTAGATATTATCACACCACTGCCAACCATGCAACAACAAAACAGTTATAACTGTGGAATATACTTGATATGTAATGCAGAAAGTGTTGCCCAATGTGTATGTGCAAATTCAGATATTCACAATATAGATCCTGTATACCAGGTTGATCTGAAAAATAAACACGCTAGTATAGTCAATCTGATTTATAAATTAGCAAGAAGAAATATCTCTTTGCAACTTGTTGATGAATAATTTATTTTAATTTTTTTGTTCCTAAAAATATAATTCTTATATCACATTGTTTCTCAAATATTGCACACAATAATTGTATTGTTTTATAAGATCTAATTGAAAAATGTTCCATTCTAACTACTATTGGAAATCTTATATTCTTTTGTTAAATTAATTTTGTTAAATTACTATTTTAAGAACACAAATTAAATTATTATAATTTTTTATTTCGACCCCCATACTTATATAATACATTTAAAATAAGTTAACTTAAATTTTTGAATTATTTCATTTAAATTGTTTTTACTTTAAAATTTAAATTATCTTTTCATAAAACATTTAAAAATGTTGATTATTTGTATCATAAATGTAATTAATTAAAAATTGAGTTTTGAATAAATTATAGAATTGTTAAGTTTTTCCAACCATAATATTAATATAATATAATAAATAAATAAAAATTGTAGTATCACTCGTGTTACTTCTATAAGAGACCTAGGGATTATTTTTGAATATGATTTATCTTTTTCTTTACACATTAATAATTCAATTAAAAAAGCATTCAAAATGTTAGAATTCATTAATAGAAATATGGTTCCTTTTAAAAATATTAATTAATTTAAAACATTATATATTTCTCTTGTCAAATCTCAACTTGAATTTGGATCGAGTATCTGGTCACCTAATTATTCCTCATATAAAAATACTATTGAAAATGTACAGTATAATTTTTTTAAACTATTATGTAATATATATCAATGATATATACCAATTTCGAGTGAAATATAGTTTTCAAAATTCTCAGCATGGATTTATATCTTGCAAATCAAGGAAAAAGGTTGCTGATATTATGTTATTATAGGTTAAATGGTTTTTTATCGGAATTACTATCAATGATCCATTGTAATATTCCAAACTGCAGTTTGAAAATCTAAATTATTTTCTAAAAATTGTATTTTTTTATTTTATTTTCTATTTTTTAAAAATAACTATAGTTTTGCATCATTTTTCCCTTGAGACTTATCATTTGCAAACCTTCTTGTTGACCATGTAGATTTTTTTTTCATGTCACGTAATATTTTTAAGCAAATGTTTACTTAGCTTTAAGTTTAATTTATACCTGAATTATTATACAATTATCAAACACACGAAATATGTCCATTAATAATTTTCACTTTTTACTATTATTCTATAAATTAATTATAGATCTGATTTAGCAACTTCTTTAAGTGACCCTTAAATGTTCAAGATTATTTAATTTCTGCGATTTTAAAAGACCACATGTAAATATGATACGAAAAATGTATATCAATTAAAAATAAACAAGAAAATATTATATACCTTTCCAACAGTAACATCTTTTTAATCAGCATCTACAAGAATCTTAGCTAGATATCCTTCCTCGGGAGTTTCAAAATCTATTATAGCTTTATCTGTTTCGATTTCAGCTAGTTTATCTCCTTCATTCAATTTTTCTCCTAGAGAGCATTTACAGTAAATTAAGTTTCATGTTTTTCAAGGCATAAACAACAATATTATAAACTTTATTTTTTTACCCAGCTTATTAAAATGCCACTTTCCATTGTTGGAGACAGGGCTGGCAATGAAACTTTAACATGACTAGGAAAATGTGTGGCATAAAAACGATAGCCAACATTTTTTATGAACGTACGTTTACCCGAGCGCCAATGTATGGAATTTTGACACCTGAACAATAACGACCAAGTTCATATTCATAAAACAATTTAAAAACGGAAAAGAATCAATCACCTACCTATACAAATTGTACAACTTTGATTGGACATCTCGTAGTTACTGTTCTCACTGCATTTCTGTTCAGGTTTCTTAGTAGACGCACGTTGTACAATTATAATAAAATTATAAATTGGATGCCGTGTACTTTTATTATATAACTATATGTATTCACTGCCATACATCAAAACATCGTCCATCCCTTCCTTCCTCAAAAAATAATTTGGTCCATCCAACATATCTGTTCATATTTATACCATGCATTTTAATTGAGTACTTTCTAAATACGCAGCGATAAGTACAGATACAAAATTATCCCTAATCTAATACGATAAAATAAGTAATATCCATAAAATAATATTACAACTTAATAGGTGCATTTTCTGACGTTACCAGTGATAAAGTGTATACACATTTTAAATAAGAGTGATTAGAGATAAGAGATTAGTTCCACGAAAAAAAATGTTATATAAAAAAAGTTTCATGGTTAATTAGAATATCGTTGTATATTTTAATGATCTTTATTTTCGTTTATTTATAATATATTAATTTAATTTACATACACCTAAATTAGTAATTATTAACATCAACGTATTAAACTAAATAAAATATTTCTTAGGTAAACTAAAATTGAAGAGATGTTACACAACCGAGCTCAGATCACGAGACTGTTTGACCTCAATTTTTTGATTCAAACTTTAGGCACTCCAAACCGATTCAGATTTTTCACACGCAGAACAGTAAACAATTTCAACTTAGCATTGAAATAGTTCTCCAAGAAATTCTTTTATAGTAAATGTTTGTGTTCATGTGCAATTAAAAATAGAATTTGTGATAAATATGTAAAAATATGTTATTATGACGAAATACATGTATGTAATATGTAATATCAAATGTGACTCATTGCAAATCATTTAATGCGAATACTAGATTAAACTATCTAGACACAGTAAAAATATGTACCTACAAAAAAAAAAAAAAAACCGAGCCTTAAATAATTATTTATATAGAGCCAATAGAGCCCCCGACCCTCAATATTTCGGATTAATGAAAACGGGAAATAAATAATAATTGTTGATAACTGCACTCGCAGTAACAATTATAACGATTGCGAAAAAAAAAAACACGTACTATATGCCATATAATATATCGGGATGGAAACTGTTGCATGCATAGCTGTAAACTTGTTCTTCAAACTTTTTTTCGATCAACGAAAACCATGTGTCCTTCTCTCACCGGAGGGCATTAGGAAGATGGTTTTTTTTTCTACGATCATCATTTTTGGTTTCCACGGGTAGCGTTTCAGAATCCTCGTCCGACGCCGTTAGAAGCCGTTGTACGGGCAAAACAAACATCGAAGACGCATCGAAGCGAAAATAATGGCTAAAAAAATGGAAAAAATAAGTAAAATAAAAATATGGAGACACTACACGCGTTCAGAGTCTCTGGTCGACGGTTAAAAGGATAATATTATTTTTACTTTCCGTCGGGATTCGTCGGAGCTCCGTTACGTGAGAAACACCGTCTCCGTCACCTTTGACCGTAACGCCGTACGCACGAACCAGAGAGAAAACGACGTCAGGACGTCACACGCAGCCGTAGTGCACCTCGCTCGATCGCATAACTCCACGTCGTCCCGCGAACGCGAAAACAACGACGTACGAGCAGGGGCGTATTTTATTGGGAATTGAAGGGAACGAATGCCCCCCCCCCCCCTTTGAACCCATATTTAATGAATCAATCATATTGTGAGATACACTTTTCAAATTTTTTTATTGCGGATCATTTTATAATGAAATCAAATTACACGTAGTTGTGAATACTGAATAGGGCTTTTTGTCGCGTCCATACTTAGCGAAAAATAAAATAAAATACAAGCGTAACTTTTAAAACACAGACAGGTGTTAAGAAAATCTACACAACAATCGATTCTAAGTGGATCCGGTATTAGGTTAAAAAAAATCATAAATATTAAGAATTCACAAGATTTAAATATTATCAAAAATTTTACTTGTACATTTCTAGTCTGAATTAAAGAAAAAATTGAAGTTGCCCCCCCCTCTAGAAGTAAGTCTAAATTCGCCCCTGCGTACGAGGTGATCGTATTTTTTTCTCGGCTCCTTGTTCCCCAGCCGTAAAGTCCGGTCTCCGCGCACACGCGAATCGAGCCCACTGCGCGACGTGAAGTTTCGGAACCGTGACGTTTTCTACTTTTTATTTATTCGATTCTTACCGTCGCCCACGCGTTCCGGGTTTACCGTATTGTTATTTTTTTCGTATTGCCACCGCGGCAGGAGATACGTTGGTCGTTTTATTAGACGACACCCATACAGCGCACGTAAACGCGTTACCTGTACGCATAGTGCACCGTACGCACGGTCGTCTGTATACTTCTTCGCCCACGTAACACAATACTCCGTGTTCCGCGAGGCCCTACCGCGAGCACCCGGTGAACGCGCGTTTTTTATCCAAATTTACGGCCGACGTAAGCGCGCGTTCTCGGTGGGCGCGATATTGGTTTCCCGTGCTCCGGGTCGGGATTAGACGCGCGCGCAATGGGTAAAACGATCGAATTAACCGTAAACGTAAAAAAACAGTCGTCCGAATTACGATCGCGGGTGGTAAATGCTGTACGTCGTCCGCTTGTACGCGCCGCGATGCGTGCGCGATTGGTTTAAATATAACGAAACAATGAAATGCACTCGAGTCGCGTTCTAATTTTAATCGTAGGCCGCGCCTTGACGATCGTCGTCGGCGGTACACGTCATGAGCTGCGTAAACGTCGCATCGTTTCGTTCGTTTATTCTATTTTTTTTTTTTTTTTGTTTTTATTTTATTCGTACACGTAACCGAACGATGATATAGTATATGGTTTCGACGCAAGAGTGATTTAAAACTGTTTATTTTTTCGTCTCAGACACGTTATACCATCACATTGGAACTGTTTTCGTACGTTAATCCTTCACAATCAACGGTTGTCTGGAGATAAGCGAGAAAAAATCAATACATCTTACCGGGTGTTATTAATTACGTATAATACGCGTACCACACTCGATAATCCCAAGCCGAACGTTTCGGCGTTTACCAATAACGAAATAAATTATACCACTCGTTCGAACACCGCCCGTGTGTTCGTCTGAATATCACCATTGAGTTTATTAGTAATTTGATCCGGTTAAGATGTCATCAGTTTCTTTGAATTTTTTTTTTTTTTTCATAAAAATTCAAACGAAAACGTTACGTTCCCACGATGGATCGGTGCAGTTGAACTTATTCAGCGTTATTGTGAGCCGGTCGCCGCATGACGAACGTTGATGGTGTTAATAAATCTGCAGTTTTGTGAATCATTTGGTAGGTAAGACGCGAATATTTTCGCTGCATCGCGACAATAATATGAAACGCGAGAAGAAAAACGACATACATTTTATACACAATTTTATAAATATAATTAGATGTGTTTGTAAAAAAAAGTGATGAAACGACTGTTTCGTTCGATTCGCGCGATAACACGGTGGTTCATCGATCGTTCGTGTATATCATTTAGATAAAATCGTTACGGTTTTAATACTACGTGGAGTCGTCAAACGTCAAACTACAGTTTTACATTATTTCACGTTAATATGTTAATGTTCGACGTTAAAACGTGCGAGCGGACGCGTGAAAACTGTACGAGCTAAAAAAAATTCACGTTTTTCATCCGAGAGATAAAAACTGTAGCACAATTTTTGCGCCTGGTTAAATAATATTCTGTTAGCCGTTCCGTTCGGCGTCGTACACGCTGCATGATAATTACAATCGTTTTTACCGGGTTCAAATGATCCTAAACGGAGTATTTAGCGACAAACCTGAAAACCTACCTGAAACTAAACTCAGTTTTCGGCTTCTGATAGTGTTTCAAAAGTTTCGTGCAACCATTTTGTGCAAAAAGGAAATTTCAGTACAATAGGCTAACGCATGCGCGTGCATGTACTAATAATAATCGTTATTTTCTCAACATATTTCTTTTTGATTTCCTCATTACAATGCCCTAACGTGCAGGTCTCGTAATTAGTCCTTTGGCCGTGCAGTAATTCAATTCGCGTAACAAGGCTTTGACACGAAATTATACTCAAATCATGTCTAGAATATTTTGAATTTCATGACAAATTATTTTTCTTGTGATAACATATAGGTTAACCTAATACAGGTCAAGGTACAATATTTTATGCTTCACCGTCTTTTGGTTTTATTTCGTTCATTGGGCTATCTTTTTGTTTTTTCTTTTTAATCAATTTCATTTAACACCCATCTCGTCGGTCAACCTGACCCGATTGTACATCTACGGACGGTATTTAAGTGCGAGTAGTTAGTTAACTAACTAACTAACTAACTGAATAACTAACGAAGAGCTATAGTCATCTCCTTAACGGGTCGTGTCTACGTGCATGTACTGTACTAGAATACAACTAGTTCATTTTCATATTTATGTGTTTTAAAAATACTAACTGATTGTTGACGAACAACCGGTGTAAGTTTTTTGTGCATAACCGTATTACTTTTACCGTGATGACCATTTTGATGGTTATCGTGTACGTTGTGGCGACTCTCGTCTAACACTTTCGTTTTATAATCAATCAGGTTTTTGTATCATGTTATGTCGCGGCGATGATTATTACAAATTATATTTTAATAAATATTATTAAAACTATTTTAAAACACTAGAAATACATTTATAACCTTGGTGGGGGAGGTTTAATAGTGTAATTTTAAATCATCTTTTGTCAGATCTGTCAAAAAAAGTGTTTAGTCCCTCGCGTTTAAAAATCCTGGCTACGTCACTGGTTTGAAAATAAAGAACATACATTTTGTTAAAACTTTGGGGACTGGCGACGTTCGAATTCCTGAAAACCTTTCTTGTGTATATATGTACATACTAACGAAAACACAATCGTAATCTTGCGGCAGATCCAGGTGATTGAGGTCCTGTTGCATTGGGAAACCAATATGATCACGTGTGCTTACGACAACTGTGCTTCAAGCCCTGTGTTTGTGATCTCGAACGTTATCATCTATTTTTATAAAAAACATGAAGACGGTTTCAAATATGTGTAAAAAGTGTAATCAATGTGAAGGTATTGCAAGCGATTTTTTGTTCAAATATACGAAAATGAAAGTTAAACCTGTTTTATTGTATTATATTCGTCAACGTTTAACGTATTCAATATATCTGAGAATGCCACAGTAATTTTATTATATAGTCGCTCGAAGTGAAAGTTACGTTCTTTGTTAAAACATTTTTTTATACATATATTAATTACGTTATACATTATGACCATTTTTTTTCCACCAAGACCGCCACGAAATATAAACTTATTTATTAATTTTCTTTGAAATAATTCCAGTCAGAGTCTCCGAAACAAAATGCAGACATTACTATTATTTGCATGACGTGAAAATGCATCGTTACAGCGTGTAAGTTTTACGTACAACGTAAACGAAAAGCGAATAGAAATCAAAAACATATGCGGTGCTAAATATTCGAACAAAACACGTCAAAACCGATGTAGGTGTATACGCAATGGTCGCAAAAGACTAAATTAAACAGTATAGCAACATGATTTATCCGCACAACTAGTCCATGGTCCTCATTTTTCTTTCACATATAATTGTATGGGATTGTTAACAACTTTTATTTTCAAACTTAATAGTGATCATGCAGCAGCTATAGTTCTACAGTGTAGTGATAACTATTGTTTTGTATTCAAAACTCACCTATCCCAATGTTGGAATTTGAAAGGTTTAACGGCTGCAACGCTTAATGGGGACGGGAGTCACTGTATACATATTTTCAAACTTATTGTACAATCATTTTTGTGCAGTAATATGGAGCGATTATTTACATTAAGTATATTGTCCTGAAAACAAATATCCGCTCACTTGCTTTTTTTCCCATGAAAATTAGTTACCTGCGCCAATACATATATATATATACACGAGTATACATATAAATACTGTGCGCTTTACAATGATTATTCCTAATCGTTATGATATAATGATTTGAAAAAAAAACAATGATAGTATAATTTACTGCTGTAATATATAACAAATACATCGTTTTAAAGACAAAAGCAATTCCTCGTGTCGCAGTTGGTGTACACCTCCTTATTGCTACAACATACACGCCGCCGCAAGAATGGCAATAAAAAACGATACGTAATGTTTCCTGTGTCCGTTAAGTACAATACATTATGCATATTATTATACACCTATAGTCATCCCGCACCGTATTATTTTGTCGATTACACCAAGCAGTGATCGCGGTGGCATTTCGGAAACAAAAAAAAAGTACCCGTTTTCCGTTCCGTTTATTCGTGTATTTTGTAAGGAGATAATCATTTTTGTGTCGAAACAACAGAGTTGTTATTTTTTGTTTTTAGCTTACTAGAATTCGGATTTAAAGAAAATTGTTTTTCTGTTACTCAAAACAATGTTATATTTGCTGTACATTTGATTTCTTCTTCTATTGAATAAAGTAATCGACATTTTGTTTGGCTTATATTGATTTTTTGGAAGTTTATTCTAAAAAAGCTCTCTTTGGGTTTTTCTCCTTGATAATGTAACTTTAAAAATATTTTTTGTATCATATTTTTATAAATATGTAAGAATTTTAATAGCTTATATTTTTGTCTCATAAATAGTTATTTTACGTATATTAAATAATAAGATTAGAAAAAAATTATTATGACCTTTTTAATTTTTATTTTATCAATTTAAATGCAAACAACTTGACATACATTTTTTGTATATCACGCATACTACGATATACTTTTAATTACATTCAATAATGATGATAATATTTGTAAATATATCAATAATTTAAAGTATCTTGGCATCAGGGGCGGATCCAGACCAAGATAACGAGTGGGGGGGCAT